GAAAAGAATTAGAAGTTGCATATTGATGCCAGAAGGAAGTCTTAAAGATTTGTCTCAAATGCCAAACAGAAAACCTGCCACATCCCACATATTTATGAAGAGTATCTTGCTCCACAAGAGAAAGATGATTCAATAAGAAAGAGACTAATTGACACTCAACCACTGATTTAATAGTATCAAATAATTATATTAACAATAATAATAATAATAATGATAATAATAATGATAATAGCGATAGTAATGATAATTTTTAGGGGCTAGCTCTATCAGTCTATCCTTTAAGATCCCATAATGATTAAACTAAACTTCCTCTAGTTCTGCCTATTAATTATAAATTATATTCTTTTAATTCCTTGCAATTCCATTTTTTGTGAGACTTTAAATGATGAACACAATTACGCGTGACTTCGGTTACACTTTCTTTTCAAAGAAAAAATGTTTCCTCTACGTTTCCATGATGCGTCGATGACACCTTTTAGATATTTCTGCAAGGAAAAGCAGTATTGTCAATCAATGATTGTGAATGTTTATCGTCTTCTGTAGTACTCCAAAACAAACAATCAGTAGCACCGGGAAACATCGGGTCAAACTTGGGTCAAGATCAGAATCCTATTGTCACTATTGTTATTTACTCACTCACTCACTCACTCAATTCGACGACAATTGTGGCTTTACCTCCTATAGGAGGCAGTAGCCTCAAAAAACGAAAAAAAAGCATTGACATTGAAAACAACAACACTACGATTATTAAACGTTATCATTTTTTATCCCATAGTAAAGTTAGTAGAGAGGGCCTCGCTATGCGCTATAATGCCTAAACGAGCTTCAATTGATACGGTTGACCTAGAGAGTTGAGTCAGGGAGCTGATTTCTGGCACAAATTTGGTAAAAAAATTTATGTCAAAGGACATTCAGAGATTAAGAGATTTCTTCCCTAAAGTTAAGTCATAGCACTGAACTTTCTCTTTGCAGTGTCACTTCGAGGTAAAGTGAAAGTAGGATGCAATTTGTGTTCATCAATCATTTGATCAGTTTGATGCTGATATTTGTTATGGTGCATCGTGTTTTGAGCGAGGGATGTAACAGCGCCAGCTGGTGGGGAAGCTTGGATACGCCCTCGAGATGGTCGGTGTGTCCAAGAAATAACACCTACCTAAGGGGATTCTGGAGGAGTCCACACAAAACCGGAGATGAAAGAGTTGGACGCCTTGAAGAAGGAAGATGCTGTGATGCTGCGGAGCCGCGTTACGCCGGTCAGCCTTCAAGATGTGTAAATGCAAACTGGTCACGCACGTTGAATGGGTGAGCCAAGCTCTTCTTGAAAAAAATTTCAAAGATGGTGGCGTAAAACTACTATGCGGACGTTGTGTCTAGTTTCAACTTTAAAAGGATTGATTACAAGTTGAAAACAACCAATTGCTCACCTAGAACAAACTTCGGACAAACTGATACTTTGGAAACTCAGAGACAAATATCATAAAATAAGATTTTGATACACATTCCTTAAAAAGAAAAAGGAGAACCCTGTAAAGATAAAAACTTGCCCAAAACGCCAATTTCTAATAGCCAAATGGGGACAAAAACTAATGTTTCTTCGCGAATTTCGCCAAAAGTAATAAACCCAAAAAATTAAAAACCCAAACAGTTTCAGGCTCAATTAATTTTTGTTTTCTTTCTTTTTTTCAGATTTAATGTCTGGGCTTTGTGTCCAAAAGGCTTTTACATGAATGGCATCAGAACAGGATCTACTCACCCCTTGCAATCATTTTTGAACAACATCGAAGAGGCAAGATGTTGCCATCCAACGGATCATCCCAGCCGTTATGAAGACTGTTACGATGAAGATGTTGCTATTTCATTCAACACCAAAGGTTGGAGTGAATGCCAGAAGAATGGTTATTACATGACCGGTTTCTACAAAAGTAACTGCCATGAACTTAACTGTATTGACAAGTTCAAATGCTGTAAACATCTCTTGAGAACTTCAGATGCTGAAAACGGTAATTATATTGTTTCCATCTATTTCTTTATACAAAAAGAGACCAAAAGAAAGACTTTCTTGGAGAATCTTTAATTTCCAAAGTTGCGATGCGTCAAAGGTTAGACTCAACCGATTTTAAGTGACCTGTACCACTTGCTTTTTCAATTCCTTGGGGTTTTCTTTCCCCAATATATTTCGAAAGAAAGTTCTAAGAAACACTTTTAAATTTTGACCTACAAGACATACTCGGAGACTAAGATTAAAATACTGCTACCTTTTACAACCACAGTTACTAAATCTATAACAATAAAGATATGTAAGCATGTATAGTTTTTTATATTCACATATTACCTCATGTTAATCAACAGGGCAATCAATCCCAATTACAGATCTACAGCGAGAGGTATACAAATCTTGGGTGTTTTCTAAGCTAATACCAAGTTCGATTTGTTTTGGACGTGAGCCGGAAAAACAGAGTCGAGTACATCGGTCGAAGCTTCTGTTTTAGGAGGTTTTTTGTTCCGGAAAACTATCAAACTACATGATCTAAGGCCAGGATGGTGTTTAAAATGCCGCCATATGAGATTTTTTCCAAAACTTAGAAAATAACTGTTTGCGTCTGTTAGAAGCGTGTTAGCACTTTCATTTCAAAATATTTTGCCATCATGTTACCTTTTGTGACGTCGCATTTCGTTACCATGACCATTGCGAACCTTGAAGCGCTAATATAAAATCTTCGTGAATAGAAGTGTATCTTGAAGCGATCATG